GAAATCCAAATGCAGGCCTATGGTATCCCAAGGGAGGTAACTTTGAACTAATTGGTTACTCTGACTCAGATTTTGCAGGTTACAGGTTAGATAGGAAGAGCACCTCTGGTCACTGCCAAATGTTAGGTGGGAGACTTGTCTCCTGGTTTAGCAAGAAGCAGAACTCAATCTAAACAAGTACAGCAGAAGCTGAGTACATTGCAGCTGGGAGTTGCTGTTCTCAGTTACTCTGGATGAAGCAACAACTCAAGGATTATGGAATTCATGCAAAGGAGATCAAACTGTTTTGTGACAACACCAGTGCCATTGCAATCACTCAGAATCCAATACTTCATTCCAGGACAAAGCACATTGAGATCAGATATCAGTTCATCAGAGATCATGTGGAGAAGAAGCATATCTGTATGGAGCATGTACCTACAGAAGATCAGCTAACGGATATTCTAACCAAGCCTTTACCAGAGGCAAGGTTTAACAAGCTAAGGGAAGAACTGGGAATGATGGATGATCTTCCCAGAGATGCATGAACCAGAGTTGTTGTGGACCAGAACTGCTTTCTGGAACAGAGAACTTTCCATCAGAGTATCTCTATCTCTGATCACCAGAGTACCTTTCATCAGAGAACCACATTCTTTGATACAGAGATCCCTATCTGAAGTCTATTAGAGATCCTTGTGGACTTAGTTATTTTTCGAGGAACGGGCAAGACCTAATTACTTGAACAGGTCTTTTACCAGATTACCCCTGATTATTATTCCTTTAACAGAAACGTTTTCCGCCTGCATTTCTTTAAATGCTACCTCGAAACCATAAATAATCCCAAACGTCCACTAACCCAAAACCATTTATACCCACCTTCTTCAACCTAAACTGCTACTGCTACTTCATCTCTCTAAACGTACATTTGCTCTCAAACCTTCAACCCTCTCAGAACTCCTAATCTCCAGAATCTTTCTAGAACCACTCTCAGAAAATGAACTTCATCAACGTCAACGACCTCACTAAGGAGGAAGCCAAAACTATTGTTGCCAACATTGTGACTCACATGAAGGTGGACATGTCAGCTCTACCGCTACTCCTAGAAAACCAGAAACGGATGGCAAAGATCATCCAGGGGATGAATGAGTCTCAACTGAGCAAGGTTGTTGCTCACCCTTACGAACAGTTCAGCACCAAGGATGTGGCTGAGTTCTACCTCAACGCCACCATCACCAAGGACGGTGTTCACTCCCAGGTGCAGGGAAAAAGCATCACTCTGAATGCAGATGCCCTTAACGAATTCTTTGGAGTCCAACTAGACTCTTAAGACCCTGAAACTCCTACTCTCATTGACCGGGAGTCAGTGGATGTCTCTGTTGAAGCATTTGTACAGACCTACTGTCGCCCTGAGGCCGCCAACCTAGACAAGCTGTACATGAAGAAGTTCTTACTGAAGAAGGACTAAGAGAAGCTGGTCAGCATCTTGCACAAGTGCTTATGGTGCAAGACCAGCTCAACCGACGAAATGAATAAAGCCAACTGCAAAGCAATCTTTGCTGTTCACCATGGCATGAATATAAACTGGGGTGAGGTAATTTTCGGTTCTTTAACTGAGTTTATCAAGAAGAAGGATCAGAAAACAGGCCTTTTCTCAACCAAGATGGGCCATGGTCTTCTTCTCTCTGCAATCCTCACTGCCCATGGAGTTCAACTCAGGGATCCTTCCCCAGTTGAACACTCCAAAACAATCTTTTTCACTACATCTCCTAAGCTGAATATAGTCATCTTTGCTGAACTGAAAAGAGAAGAAAGGCTAGAGAAAAAGAGGGAATAACAGGCTGTGAAACCCAAACTTGTTCCCAGGAAGACTTCCAAGAAGCCCACTGTGACTTCAGAACAACCTGAGCAGTCGCAGGTTGCAAGGGATGTCAGGAAGAAGAAGAAGAAGAATGACAGGAAGTCCACACCAGAGAAGGATGCACCAGAGGTGGTTGCATCAGAGTTGGCTCCCTCAAAGCCAGTCAGATTTTCACCTGCTAAGAAGCAGAAGATGAAAAGGAGAAGGAAATTGGTTGTTCAGAGTGAGGACTCTGACAACTCTGGTCTCCAACCAATGAAGAAGAAGAAGAAGAAAGCAGTCTCACCTGCAAAGGGATCAAAATGAGAAACTGAAGGAGATCACTGAAGCCATAGACATTCTACAATGGAATGCTAATCAATCCTCAGAACGTTTTATGGAGATAGGGATTCTTTGTAAAGAACACAAAGCGCAAGCCTCCGATCTTCTTCAAAAGGACAAGGATCGATATCAGAAGTTGGTACTCCTTGAAGCCAGTACACAGAGCATCCAGTCAACCATGAAGAGACAACATAGACTGATTGAAGGACTGGCCTCTGTTACCCAGACTCTACCTGAAGCCCTTGAGGAGACCAGAGATGCTCAGGCTCCAGAGTTCTCTAAGATTGAGCTCCTCCTTGGCGATCTTGTTGATGCCAAAAAGGGGGAGGAGACCAGAGAAGAGGAAGGTCCCAACACCAGAGCCCTATCTATCAGAGGACCCTCATCTACTGTTGATCCTGCTCCTTACTTTGAAGCTACAAAGAAGAAAAAGTTAGCCGCTGCAGGCACCAGACCTCCTCCTCCTCCCAGAAGCTCAAAGAAGAAGTCCTCAAACTTTGCATTCAATGAGTGGATGAAGAGTGGGATGTCTAGGCCTGACAAAGCTCAATTCACTCAGATGAAGAAGCTCATGACTCCACTACAACAAGAGATTCTGTTCATGGATAGTGATGGACTTGTCCAGATCAACCATGGTGGATCTATACAAGAAGTTGAAATCTGGTGGCATATGAGAGTTCTAACTGGAAAGAACATTTCAGAAGCAATCAGAAACTACTTGGATTGCAAGCTTGCGCCTCACTGGGCAGACTATCAGAATCCAAGGGACTTAGCCTCAATCAGAGCTAAGGTCAATGCAGAACTTGAGAGGATTGATAAAGCAGGACCCCAGGTAGATGAAGAAGAAACTTAATCTTCCATCTCTGTTTCTGTATTTAACTCTCTGATAAATAAGATACCATCTCTGCCTCTAATTTGCATGGCATCTTCAATTGTCTGTTCTTTTTTGCTTTCTGTGATTTCCTTTCGTTTTCTCTGATACCTTAATTCCTCTTATTGCTATCTGATTGTACTGTACTCTTACTATTTTCCTATGCCAAGTTGCCCACCAAGATTTTAATGAAAGTTTTTAACTTTATTCTTTTATGGTGAAAGGCACTTCCCTGGAAATAGTTAAAGGGTTTTGGCATCATCAAAAAGCGGGAAATTGTAAGGAATAAATGTAATTAGATTTTGATGATGCTAGATTTATTAGAATTTGAAAGTACCCCTATAGAATTTTTGTATTAGAAAAATTTCTTTGTAAGTATTAGCATAGTCAACATGCCAGAAACCCTTTTGGTCTTCTTTTTCAAAACATCTACCAGAGTTGCTCCCAGAGTTGCTCACCAGAGTTGCTCCCAGAGTTGCTCTCCAGAAAAGCTACCAGAGTTGGGTACCAGAGTTGGCATCAGAGGCAGTCATCAGAGTTCGGATCAGAAAGCCTCATCAGACTTGCTCTTACTTAGCAGAATTCGAAGGCACTTACCAACGGCCGTGAAACTAATGGGAAATCCTCTAACGGCTAGGAGCCATTCGACGGGAACATGGTACTGTACACGCATTAAATGCTCAATTAATGTTGTACGTATGAAGATATTTTTAAAGATGATGATTGACCATGCGGGTATCTTCACGCCCCCAAAATAGCAAGTCGAAGGTCCAAGCGGTCAAATCAACAGTACAAGCATTTAATGAAGCTGTCTTCTACACTCCAACGGGAAGACTGCTCCCAGTATATAAGACACACTTTGAAGAACTACCAGGACAACTTTTGCTCTATAACTTTGCTCAACCTATTTGCTCTGAACCAAAAAAAATCTTCAAGCTTTCTTGAGATAAAAAACTCACTTACCTCAACAAGAAAAGCTTAAGTTGGAAGATATATTTTCATATCCTTCATCCAACTAAAAAGTAACAAAGTTCCTTAGTTTTTCAACACTTCGAAAGCATCATCTACACATCCTTTGTGAAGAAGCAACATTGGAGAAAACTGATCTTGAATCAAACACTTCTTGAAAAAGAAGGGACGTCTTAAACTAACTGGAGTAAGTGAAGTGGGGATACTTCCAAGAGATTTAGTGAAACGAGACCAGCCATCAGGAAGCAGGATTGCATCCCGGGTGGCAACTAGGCTTGAAGAAGATGTGGAGTGCTTCTTAAGTAGAAAACATTTTGGAAAATCTTGAAAATTATTTTAAAACTCTCTTAATTAGAAAAATGCATTGCGTGATCTCTCAGAAAAAACCATAAGCTTTGATACCAACTTGTAACACCCCCAAATTTCTCACCCAAAAATACATTTAAATATAATGATTTAAATGAAAGTATTACTAACTTTATTTGAAAACATCAGAAAATGTGCAGCGGAAAATTCAAAGGGAAATAGGGGTGCTATCGCCACACTCGGTTCTCTCTTAACCGAGTGCACAGGCTAAAACAACTTAAACTTCAAAATCAAAAGCTCAATGATTAAAGTTATTGAAAAAGAAATTTACAATGATTTACTAATAATGTTTTCTAGCGAAAGCTCTCTCGCGAAATCAAGTTCAACATCAATCCACTCAACACCTGTACAAAATCATGTACAAAAAGAAAAATAAAAGAAACAAACATTAGCAATAATGCTAAGTAAGTCCCACCTAACCTTTTTAAAACAATAATAATAGTATATATATAAATTCGTATAACCGTTAGTATAAAAAAAAATTCAAACACTTTATAAATCATAAGTAAACGATATCTAAACAGAATCTCAATCACATAACTCATGAACCATAATAATTCCAAAATACATGAAACACCAAAATTTCTCTTCTATTGAATTTCTCCAAAAATCACTTTGTAACTAACTCCCTAGTAATTTAGAAGGGCGGTACTATCGTCGCTATCACAAATGCTCAATGGAAACGGAAACAACTACTTTAAGTGTGCACATACATCCCCTGAAGGTAACAGCAGAGCAGGTCGTAGACGGCGACACTCCTTGGTAGCAGCAGCAGTCCGGTCCGGCGGCTCCTCCTTTGCCGATGTTAACGGCTAGATTTTCCGGCAGCCTTGTAAAAACGTACTCCCAGCGGCCTCTTCAGCAATGGTTCTCTCTTTCCGGCACCAAGTTCTTCCTTCTCGTTCGTCAAAACAGGCCGATCGTCAGAATAGTCCGGCGAACAGAGTTCGTTCTTCTCCGACGTTTCCTGCGTCAGTAGTTTTTCCTTCCGACGCATCTGTATGGTCATTCGTTTATATATATATATATATATATATATATATATATATATATATATATATATATATATATATATATATATATATATATATATATACACCCGTAGGAAGTTTCGAGACCATACGTTAAAAATCCTTGCTTTTATTAGTGTTATTATTATACTCCGTAATTCCGTATTACGTGCATCAGCACATGTACGCATAAAATTTATCATCTTAGTCGGTTGAGTTGCTCAGCGATTACTACCGAATATGTTTGTATGTTATGAGTAATTGATATGTGTATTATTATTGTGTACACCATGTCGCCATGCATGTATCACATGTATCATACAATAAATAGATGCATCATGTATGTATGGATGTTATGCGTACATATGTATCATATGTATATACGTGGATCATATTATTCATATTACACATTATCTTTGTGCATAAGTGTTGTATTATTGTATCTATTTATTTCATTTTCTTATTTCTCTCTCTTTTTTTTTTTAATATTTTATTTTCATCACATAGTTTATATATGGTTCATTTTTTATCAAATAAATTTTATCGGGTTTATTTTTAACCGGGAAGTTACATCTATTTTTTTTCTTTTTATTATATTTTTATTCTAAATTTTCGAGGTGTCACATTCTAACACCCTTAAAAGGATGCTTCGTCCCCGAAACATTCACTTACTAAAGAAAAGGTTACGTTAAAAATCGTTCCATAGAAGTGTGCGTTGATGTATTCCGATCGGTATGTTTAAATAATAAATTCACATTTTATTTCATTTTTTTATTAATATTTTTATTTTATTTTATTTGCTGTTAAATTTTTAGGGTGTCACAAAGGACTTCAATTACTATATGCAGAAGGCTCAACTTGCTAAACAAAAGGAGCAAGGAGTTGTCCTGATGGCTGAACATGATAGATGGCTCGAAGATTCTGAAGATAGTGAGCCAGAGAATTTGGCACTGATGGCAAGGGTAACTGAATCTGGAACTGAAAGTGATGACTCTGAAGAAGAAGACAATGGTTCTACATCTGCTGAGAATGAGGTAAGTAACTTAAAATCATTAATTTCTCAACAAAATGACAAGATGAAAGAGTTAATCACTTCTCTTAAAAGAGAGAAAAACAAAATAAAGGAACTTGAAGACAGACTTGCTAATAATAAAAAAGTTCTGGAAAAACAAGTGTTGGAAGGAGCATTTGAAACTGCACGCTTAAAAGATTCACGTGATAGAGTTTCTCAGTTAGAATCAGAAGTAACTAAGCTTAAGCAAACTATTAGTGACTTAACTAAGGAACGTGATGAGAATAAACGACAACGTTCTGAAGCTGTTATTCGCTATGATCTGATTAACAAAGAACGAGGTCAACTTTACTCTAAGATAAAGGAGTTAGAGGATATCTTAGCCAAAAATGGTCAAAACGAACAAACAATTCATCTTTTGAATAGTAAAATCAGGGATACTTAGTTTTACAACCCTAGAGAAGGATTAGGCTTTCGAAATCCTGAAATTTTGAAAAAGGTCGATTGCATTCAGCTTTACGACATAAGATAAGGGAAATTAGGGTTAACCAAACTCATGAAATTCACTAGTGCTTCTGAAACTATTGAGGAAGAAGAGGAGAAAAGGAAAAATAGGGCTAAAGCTGAGATTAGTTTTGATTATACTGCTCTCAATAACAGCTATGCCACTAGAGAAATCCCTTTGTCAAATGACTATGTTACCCATTCTCCTCCTGAGAATCATAACATGTCCAGTGATCAAGAAGAAGCCTCAACCTCAAAAGTTTCCGAACCCTACGTTCCTCCTCTAATTAAGAAATTAGCTGACCTTCACTCATCTTTTGAAGAGAAACGTGAAAAATTTAAACTTGAAAAAGAAAATCTTTTAAAGAAAATTTCTGAATTGTCTGATGGATCCTCTCAAAGCTCAAAATCTTCTAAGACATCCTTTTCTTATGATCATGGAAAGAAAAACAATTTTGAAAAGAAAAGGAACTTATTTTTTGCTCCACAAACAGGAAAAGTTTTCTCAAAATCCAATGCAGGAAGGATGACCTGGGTTCCAAAGTAGAAGTCAAGCGATGATACAAGACCTGAGCAGAAAAAGAAGATTTCTAAAATCTTTAATTTTATGGAAAAGTCTTGTAATAGATTTAGAAATTGTTTTCGTTCTCATTCTCCATCTAGTTCCATTGTTTCTGCTTCTTTTAGTTCTCCAAAGCTTTCCTCTTCTCACTCTAGCTCTGTGAATTCTATTTCAAGTGACTGTTTTAAGCATGATCAATTTAGTCCTTCTCCTTTTTTAAAACATGATGTGTGTGATGTGAATGCTAATAATGATTGTGTTACTTTCTCTTCTGTGAATGGTAAATGTCTAAATTATCCTCTCAAGGTGTATTCTGTTAAACATCTCAAAAGATTGGAAAAAGAGAAAGTTTTCACTAATTCTGAAGCATCCCACTCACAATTCCAGAACTATTCAAATAAATTTTATAAAGTCAAGCAAGTCTGGGTTCCTAAAAGTGATCCAATTAAAACTGATTCAATTCTTTCTTCACATAAAAAGGATGGACCAATCCTTAAATGGGTACCCAAGGCTGCTTAATCTTGCAGGTCAGTCATGTGTGGTACTTAGATTCAGGTTGCTCCACACACATGACTAGGAAGAAAGAGCTTTTGAGCAACTACGTTGACAAGTTTGGTGCGAAAGTTAGATTTGGAAACAGTGACTCTGCTCCTATTCTTGGATTTGGAGATATCTGCAACAGCAGGGTCACAATTAAAGACGTCTCCTATGTTGCCGGGTTAACACACAACTTGTTTAGCATTGGACAATTCTGCGACAAGGGCATGAAATTCATATTCCGGGCTAACAAGTGTTGTGTGAAGGATGAACAAGGAGACACCATTCTGAGGTGTAGACACAAATCTGGTCTCTACACCATTGTGCTGAAAACAATGTTTCCCAATACAGATGTCTGCCTGCTATCAAGAGCGTCCTCTAATCTAAACCAAATGTGGCATAAGAGGATGTCTCATCTGAACTACCGTGATCTGCACACATTGTCATCAAAGAAGCTTGTTACTGGTCTACCAGCACTACAAAGCAAATGTGAACATCTGTGCGATTCTTGCGCACTTGGAAAAATGAAAAGAGCTTCTCACAAGGCGAAAATGACAGCATCTACTACACGTCCTCTTGAATTGCTTCACATGGATCTTTGTGGGCCCATGCGAACACAAAGTATCAATGGGAAGAAGTATGTACTAGTAATAGTAGATGACTATTCACGATACACATGGATCCAGTTCCTTCGTTCCAAAGACGAGACAGCTGACATCATCATCACCTTCATCCGAACAACACAGAATCTTCTACAAGCAACAATTCTCTTCATACGATCTGACAACGACACTGAGTTCAAGAATCAGAAACTCAGTGAATTCTATGAGACTGTAGGCATCATTCAGCAATTCTCTGCAGCAAAGACCCCACAACAGAACGGGGTGGTTGAAAGAAAGAACAGAACTCTTGTTGAAGCGGCAAGAACCATGCTGATCCATTCCAAACTTCCACATTCTCTCTGGGCTGAAGCTATCAACATTGCTTGCTTCACTCAGAACAGGACCTCTATTCACAAAAGGTTTGGAAAGACACCATATGAGCTGATCAATCGCCGAATTCCCAGTGTTTCTTTTCTGAGGGTGTTTGGATGCAAGTGCTTCATCATGAATGATAGGGAAGAACGAGGTAAGTTCGATCCAAAAGCAATAGAAGGCTTGTTCATTGGCTATTCTTCGTCATCCAAAGCTTACAGAGTGTACATCAGAGACAAAAAGAAGGTCATTGAAAGCATCAATGTGACCTTTGACGAGAAAGAAGAACAGGCTTCTGGACACATCAGTTCAGAACCCGATATCACTGGTGTTCTAGCACAACTACCCGCCTCATCTCCCTCATCTGATTCCAACTCCGTGGATCTCGACCACCTGTTTGACCAAATTTACGAGAATCCACAACCACACGATCCATCTTCTCCACCCGTTACTACAATATCTACAGCTGCAACTCCTACACCCGCATCAACTTCATCAACTTCTGCAACCACAACTGAGATTGAAACTTCAACACCTCCGCCCACTGATCCTACATCTTCATCTGTTCCTCATGCTGATAACCCTTATGTTGATCAGCAACCCAACAATAATGCTCAGCTACTCCCTCATGTTAGAAAATGGACTCGTGCTCATCCACCTGATCTCATACTTGGAAATCCTTCAAGTGGAGTGTGTGTCACGCCCCGGACCTAGCCGTACACGTCAACAACCCGCCATACAGTACGAATAGTCAACCGCAGTCCAACTCATCCATACTATACAAAGCGTCATGAATATCATTCACACATAGTACATCCATAAACAACCGTAATGTAAAACATGCAATTAAAACAGCGGAAGCATTAATACAATTGTTCAAGCCACACTTGGCATAACTAGGCATACAAGCCCCCAAAGTAATTATTCAGAAAATAGTATCCATGAGCATTAACGTAATTGTTTTTAAAACAGAACGGAAGAAGCACGAAACACGTCTTCTTCCCTTGATCCTCCCGAAGCAACGGGCAACGGTAGCAACCTTCAAGTTCTACCTGAAACTGTGAGGTGGCCTCCCCCGTGAAGAGGGAGGTCAGTACTTGGAAGCACTTGACAAGTAAAATAGCAACTATACTAAGTATAATCAACGTTTTAATTTCCAAGACCCTCAAAATAGTGGATATCATAATATAAATAATAATTTATATTTCCCACTTATTATCTTTATAATAAGTAAATTCATTTATTTGTCGGCACACGACCCTTCTTATATATTCCTTTTCATTTATCATTTTCACAACCCAACCCTTGGGTCTTATTATTTCTACGGGACTTGCTACCGCTGTCCGAGACCTCATGAGGCTCCCGGTTCGGACTCCAACATCCCGCCCCTGGACTCATTCCCATCATCCCGTAGGAAGGTAAGGCCCTTCGGGGTCCTATCTTATGTGTTACCGTTACCGGAACCTAGTTAGGTCTCCGATTCGGATTCCACCCTAACCCGTGATCACGATGTAAGTCCATGCTATCCAACCCCGCTCTCTAGAGTCGGGAAGGGCCATGGTCCTTACTTATTTCCATAATTCCACCGGCTATCCTCAAGGACTACCGAACACACCCGTAGGCCAATCCTATATCTAGGATCAATTTATTATTTACCTTATCTTGGGTATCACTTAAGGCCTACCCCTTGTATAACTTAAAGTTCATACTTTCCCACCTTAAAGCATCTCTTAAGACTACTTAAGGCATAACATTTCACAATCCAATCTTAGGATCAATCTTAACACGATTTCATTTTTATGTCCAACTAGTGTCTTAATACTAGTCAAATTAATTCCAACAAACCAAGTTCTCAACTCATAGTCATATAGACAATTCCAACTGATTTTCCTTTGAAAATATCATTTATCTCAATATTCGAAATATCACTTTTAATCACTCATATATTCTAATATGAAGGAAAAGTATATTTCAACATATGTTTCATAATTTATTCCCACTTTCAAGTCAACCTATTCATAACACATGATCATACACAATTTACTCTTAAATTTGTATATCATGCTCCTTTTTCTTTAGACATTAGTCTTTTCATTTTTTTAGGCATTATTAATCATTAATAATCCATAAAAACACATTTAATTACCTTCGGTAATCTCATGAAATTAACTCACTAATTATAAGCAATATAGTCAGCCATCCTCACCTTATGATGTGCTGAAATAGTTGCCTTTGTTGAGCTCCACGATTAATCCTCGTTTTAAACCGATAAAAAGGCAAAACTGGACTGCCTGGGCAAAAGCCGGGCGGCTTTCACGAAAGCCGGGCGGCTTTCGTAGTCTGCAACTACGAACAGCTCCTTTGGAGTGGCGGTTTCCGGCGGTTTCGACTCCTATCGATTTGCCAACCCTTCTAAGTTAATTACCACCACTTTATAACATCATG